ATTTTGTAATTTTATAAAGTTTGTCTTTTTGTTGTATTTTGTAAGGCTGGCTGGACGCCCTCTCTATAAACGGTGCTCGCAGAATATCAGCGTCGAGGTACTTCGTGCAATGGCATATGCTGAGCGAGGACCTGTTTTTATTTGTTTATTTATTTAAAAGGATGTGTCAAGTGTCATTACATCGGTCCAATTGGTAGCAAGTGTTTTATAGACTTCCTTTTAATAAAACATTAATTTTATTTGTATGTTTTACTAACGGTACTTTTGGCGATCACTCACACAAATGCAATTCTCAGCTTAAGTTGATAGGACTGTAGCTTGACTTAAAAATGACTTTAGTGACAAAAACGAATCGCCGTAAAACCGACTCCACGTAGTCTTGTCTGCCATACCCCTAGAGTGTAATTTAGAAGCGCGTAGGCACGGAGGCTGCGGCTGAGGCTGAGGCTGAGGCAAGCCGAAGACGCGGTGTCGAGCGAAAGCCATCTGCGACGATTAGCACGCGAGGGACCGCCAGAGCCCCGCGGTGCCGGAGCCGTGACAGAAGTCTCAACTTTTTAGTCAATGCATGCTGCATGGCTGCATGCCGCTTGCTTGCCTGCTTGCTTGCTTGCCTGCCTGCTTGCTTGCTTGCTTGCCTGCTTGCTTGCTTGCCTGCTTGCTAGCTTGCTTGCTTGCTAGCTTGCTTGCTAGGTTGCTTGCATGCTAGCTTGCTTGCTTGCTCGTTTGCTAGCTTGCTTGTTTGCTTGCTTGCTTGCTGCATGCAATGCTTATTATAACAATTGAACTCCATATAAAATTATTATTGTTATATGATTTAAGTTTTATAGGCAAAGAATTTTATCTCATTTGATTGTTCGACATTTTATTTTTATATGATTTGAATGTTATTTGTTTTAAATAGTAACATTGTAAGTTTTATAGAAAATGTTCATTATATCAATCCATTTTATATCAGTTAATAGTTATTTGTCTTAAAATTATTCGTTTTAAAATTATATTATTCGTTTATTATAGTAAATAATTATTATATTAAATGATTTTGTATAATTTGATGTTATATCCTCTAAGTATTATATGATATGTAGTTATATAATACATTACACACCCCAGTGAGACAGCTTCTCTATTATGTAGATGGGTCCCGGCGGTAGCCACCTCACGATCGTTTCAGCCAGGTTGCAATGCTGGTAGTCGACAAAGTAGAACTCTGTAATAAAAACTTACCTCGTCACCGGCGAAGGGAAGCTCTTAGGCGCTTGTAGCACGTTAGTGCGGGCGACGGGCACCGTGATATGGTTATCTATTATATATGTCGCAGGCAAATTGTATGATTCCGCATTTTACAAACGGCGTCGTCAGTTCACAAACGCTCGCTGCTCTATGAAATGCCGAAGGCAAAATGTAAATTGCCTGGGCACTTTATAATATGCCAAAACATTTGATAGCCAATTCAATTGCTGTTTACAAAATGCCGCGGCAAATTGAAGTATTTAGTTCTTTTTCTTACCACGCGAGGCGCTGCTAATCAAAACAAGAAAAATGGCGTCGAGTCGTGGTGTTGTGATACAGAAAACAGTGCAAATTCTACGTATTCAAAGGACTTTTCACATAAAAAGACATTGATTATACTTAGTGAATTAAAAATATTTTACGATTCATAAATAGGAGCAGTGAAAAAGCTATGGAAAAATGAAATAGTTTTTGAGGTTATCCGGCACGTAAAAAACGCTAAGGTGACAATGGAATCTGGTGCTCGGACTGGTGGTGGACTGCTGCGGAATATTATTGGTTTAAAAAAATATTGTGTTGTCTTCTAGACTTCTTCTAGGTATAATTAAAATGTAAGAATTAAAGGACTGACTATCGAAACTAATTTTATGTCATAGTTTTATGTACCTACCTATAGGTACGTACGTCAATAGTTTAAATTAGTTTAGTGTTGTTTTTATTACGAAAATATTTTAATTACTTTAGGAGTAGCTAGTATTTTAGGTTTGTCTTACCTGAATAGATACCTACCTGATTTCTGAAATTAAATCTGATTTGTCCAACATGTGTTTTATGATGGTCACCCTATTGCAACAATCATAGTCGAAATTTTATCAATTGAACGAGTCGCCAATTTGCCTTCGGCATTTCATAGAACAGCGAGCGTTTGTAAACTGACGACGCCGTTTGTAAAATGCGGAATCATACAATTTGCCTGCGACATATACATGGGGCCGGGCGTGAGCCACCTCACGATCGGTTCAGCCAGGTCGTAAAGTCTGAGAGTCGATGATACAATATTCTTCGTAACAAACTTACCTCGTCACCGGCGAAGGGAAGCTCTTAGGCGCTTGTAGCACGTTAGTGCGGGCGGCGCGGGCACATTGAAGTGGTTATCGATTATGTACATGGGTCCGGGCGTGAACCACGTCACGATCGGTTCAGCTAGGTCGTAAGTACCAAACTTATTCTTCGTAACAAACTTACCTCGTTACCGGCGAAGGGAAACTCTTAGGCGCTTGTAGCACGTTAGTGCGGGCGGCGGGCACCGTGAAGTGGTTATCGTTAATGTACATGGGTCCGGGCGAGAACCACGTTACGATCGGTTCAGCCAGGTCGTCGTCCTCGTTATAAGGCTGCGAGTCGATGATGCAATACTCGTCGTCTGTGTTGCCGTCCTCGCCGCCCGATTTGTTCTGTTTGAGAATTCACAAAAATAAATTAATAAATTTTTGAAATTGAAAGCATAAATATTAGTCAAAAATACGATAGCACAGACCACACAAAACACATTTCACTGTCAATATAAAAAAAGAAAAATAATATCTTTCTTTTCTCGTATAGTTTCAAAATACGCATCTTCTTGCATTATATGGAATGGAATCTTTGACTACAAATGGTACATAAAGTATAAATTCACTTTACATAAATTCAAATGTACCTTTTTCCTTTTCGGCTTCTTCGGCGAGGCCTTTGGCGTGGAGTTAGGGTCGCCCAACTCTTTGGCCACCTGCACGTTGGTAGGCTTGGCTTCCATCGCTTCCTCCACGGGCGCTGCAAAGTCCTCGTACTCCATAGACTTGGCTTCAAAGTCCTCAGTGGTCTCGGAAATCTGCCGCTGCTTCATGTTGGACTCGTCTGGGAAGAAGAATATCTCTACGCCCTCTTTCTCTGTCGAGCTGTTCAGGTCGTCTTCTTCAACTGAAACAAAATTATTAAATTAATTCAAATTGAGATAATTTATTCAGTACTTAGGCCCTTTAAAGGGCACTTGTACACGTCCCAAATATAGCTTGCCCCACCGCCACTTCGGGACAACTTAGAGGCGAATTTGAATTGAGAAGAAATGGCGGGAGAAACTCAAGTCACTTTTGTCAGCCTCTTTTGCAATTAAATAGATCAAATAAGATACATAATAAGTGCGAATTTTTGTTACTCACGAGTTGTATTTGGACTTTCTTTCATCGCTTCGGCCATGAGGTCGTTGACTTGTTGGATCTCGTTCGGCGACAGTTCTCTGATTTCCTCCACTGGTCGGTCATCTAAGCCTGAAAAGAAAAGCATAAGATTTTTTGTTTTCGGAACAGCGGAACACTTAATTTCATAAGCGAAGCATACACCTTAGTAGCTTCCTTATTGTGGTCGATCTTCAAATTCACACTCACGAGGCTGCGAGTCGCCATCCGAGGCCGCGAACGTCAGCAGCCGGCATAGGGCCGAGGCGGGTCGCAGCAGGTGCAGTGACGTCAGAGCTACTCACCCACGAGCTGCTCCAAGGGCTGGTCGGAGCAGATGCTGGTGTGGCGCGAGGAGGGGTCGAAGGGCGGCTGCGAGTCGCCGTCCGAGGCCGCGTACGTCAGCAGCCGGCATAGGGCCGAGGCGGAGTCCCAGCAGGTGTATAAAGTGATCATGTTGTTGGACGCACTCAGGTCCACTTGAGGCTGTTCGCTTTGCTGTTGAATCGAGTTACACAATGGCTTAGTGATTAACAAAGACTGAGTCAGTGCTTGAGTTATGAGAGTGGCACGGAAGTGGTGACATAGCTGACCATACAGATCTGAAGAAAATGCCAACTAATGTCGCAATGTGTACTGTTTTTGGGCATATTTCTGCGACACTGGCCCCGCCCCCTTTTCACATCTCCCTTTAGTTTCTGTGATCTGTGTAACTGACATATGATGTGACGTATCAAAGCATACAAATCTGAAGCACATTTAAAGTCTCGCTGACGTTTGAAGTCACAAGAACACCCTCCCAAATAGCTTCTATACCTGAGGCACTGAACTACACTCAATAATTTACTATGGTAAGATCATAGGATAAGAAGGCTATTCATCTAGGACATGGCCAGAAAATTACAAAATTAAATATTACTTACAGGGTTATCCTTATCGTCCATCCTCAAAGACAGTTCAAACAGTCCCAGATCGATCACGCAAACGTAGTCTTTATTCACGTCTGGGTGCTTATCATCGTCCTGTGGCACGCGCGCGTTAGGCTTGCTCAAGTTCAGGTGGGCCAGGAATAGCGTACATTCTTGGGCTAGGAACCGCAGGCAGGATGTGTTGGTCTCTGCTATCAGGTTGCTAGAGACGCTGAAGTTGCCTAGAGTCAATAGGGTACGGATTGGCAGGTACAGAGGTCTGGAAGAGAAACATAGGTGTTAAATTTAGATACCTATATTATGTAAAAGAAGATTTATAGTCTATTCAGCGTAAGAAAGTGATTTTGACACTTCTATTTAGTGATGCGCTTCTTCTTTTAAACCTAATCGATATTTTTTAGAAATGAGAATATTTTCTTAAGAAATCTAATCGACTTTTTATTTGTTTGATTTTTAATTTTATCTACGTTAGTATTTTAAAAATCAAAATTATATCTACGAATTTTAATTATCTGGATATGGAATAAACGTTGTTACACAATAAATCACAAAGAATTAAATATTATGCATTTTATTCAATAAAAACAACAAATAAAAATGACAAACAACTCGTGGAGAAATCGCGAAAAACACAACCGGCCATAATAAGGCAAACGCACACGTACTGACTGAACTTTGACCTGTCTGAGAGAATAATTGGGATTCGATGGTGAGATGACCACCATACCGATTATTATTGATTGATTGCGATTGTTCTTGTCCAGCCCTATGAGCAAAAATTCCGATTAACGCATTATGCATTTCATGTAATATTTTTTCACAAATTTTAATAAATAATAAACTAATAGGTATTTGAAATTCTTGTTTAGGTTAATAGAGAAAGATTATTAATTGTCTTTTGAAAGGATAAAGTCACAAAAAAGTGATTGATATTTATACCTCAATATTTTTATTCTAAGGAAGTTGGATTCATGAAACGAAATGTTTCATCTGTCTAAATCACCATCATAAGCTGAATGAACTATAATTTATTATTGGTGTGTCTTTAAATTTTGGGAATACCATATTTTTGTAATGGTGCGTCCACACTGGGCGAATATGCTCGCGCGGCAAACTCAACATCTTGCTCACTCAAGAGCAGGGTGAGCAGGATGTCGAGTTTGCCGCGCGAGCATATTCGCCCAGTGTGGACGCACTATAAAGCTTCATTGTATCTTTAATCTATGGTTTCATGTTGTTAGATTAAGATTCAATAGCTGTATCCTGCCTCTTAAAAACTAAGCTGTAAAAGAGATGCACAGACTATTTATACAGATAGCAAAGGATAGATAGGAATAGGATACACTAGTTTTCTAAATGCTGTATTATAGCCTCTATTTATGGTCCTTACCTGTAATCAACCGCACAGTCCCACACGTGTACATGTAGTTCTGATAGCACAGTGGAAGGCGTGTACCCTGGCACGGGGTAATCTATGACATCTATGACGTCCATGAGCTGGGTCAGCCACGCGATGCCTTTGTCGCCTCTATGGCGGAGCGTTGCTTGCTCTATGCCCAGCGCGATGCAGATCGTCTGAGGAGTTTAGGTTGGATTTGGATTACGGTTTTTTCAAATAATATAAATTAATTAATATAAAATAATCCCGTTTGGTTAGGTTGAAGGGAGATAAATAGAAAAAAAAACAACAACAACATAATTATGTACAAAATTGTTACACAAATTAAAAAGTTTCGTTAGTCATATCGTGTTATGTCAGGAAACGTGTGAGAACGCCAAACATCTTATCACGGCCTCTTTTGTACACCTTGATGTTACGTATTAATATTGCACGACATAATTTGTGATAATTTGTTGGTGGAAAGATTTATCACTGTAAATACCTTCGTATTCACTAAGCTGATTGCCAAGGGTTACAATTTAGACATTTGGCAAGTCAATTTGGTAAAACTAGAACTGAGTCTTGAAAGTGGATTTCCTAAAGTCTATTATCAGTTATACCTTCAAATTAGGCGTTTCCGAGTCCGGTTCGACCTTGAGCGCTAGAGAGAACATGTCTTTAGTCTTCAAGTTCTCCTTGATGATGACTCCCTTAGCGGACGGGTAAATGGTGCTCTTCAGGTGTGAAGGGAGGATGTTGCCATACACGCGGAGGTTAGGTTTCTCCGAAGGTATTGTGATGAGAGCTAGAAGATAAGGAATACATTAGTACTTTCATTTTATATTTTCCCCACGAAATAGGAATGAATGCACTTGCAGGATAAGTTTTGCTTAATAAATACTATTCGCTCAATCTGCGAGGGGGCTCTGGTGACCTGTATTACAAGTTTTTTCTGAGACCTACATCAGGCACCAGTCTCTCACAACTATATGGGTACACTGGTCCAGCATTGTAATAAACCTAACTTAATTAAGACGCATGTACTGTTGGGAGAGATAATAGACGAGTTATTTATTTATAAATAGGGTTCAACGTACTATAGACCACAGTGTTAACTATCCATCCGTTTTTGCTCTCGCTCTCATCAAATGGTGATTCTTTGCGATAGAACGAGACGACATGACCGGCAATGGGTACTTAACACTGTTGCCGATAGTACCTACTTATTTTGACAAAACTTTACAATGTTAACACATGAGCTACTTTTGATCGAAATCTACGAGGCACAAGTTGGTGAGTTGTTCAAGCAATTTCGACTTTAATGCGACAACATTAGAATTCAAGTTCAAACTCACAATCATGGTACAGAGTAGTCTTCCCCGCTCGCAGACACAGCTGGGCCGTCTTGGGGCGTCCGTTGAGCCCGCTAACCTGGCACAGAGCCAGTTTGTGCGCCTCCAACACCAGCTCGCCCATCTGGCCGGGGACTACGCGTTTGTTGCTGTCCTGGAGATGGAGTTTTAGTTAGTTAAATATAAAGGTGATAATAGCTTAACAGTGTTGACATCGGCCTGTCAAGTTAAAGGCTTCCACAGACCAAACGCGGGGCAGTAGCAGCGCAGTTTGAATACGGGCCCGCGCAAGTTGTAATACAAGAAACTCTTTGAAGCGTGTCACACCAAATGGCAATGCCAGATTTTGTATGGAAGGTGGCGTCTTTTATTTTTCGCGCGGCCATCGCGCGAAAAAAAAAAGACGCCAATTTCCGGCATTGTCTTTTGAACGCGGGCCCGCGCTCCAACCGCGCCGCACTGCAACTGTCGAACGGCAAACGAGGCGGCGCGGATGCGGGACAGAAGCGGCGCGAACGCGGGCCCACGCTGTTGTATTACTATGGCGGCCATATTAGCATGACACACCGGACGCAGGGCGGTAGCAGCGCGTTGAAAGCGGTTTTTGAATATTGAAATTTTTGACAACCGCCCGCGTTGCAACTGCTTTGAAACTACGCTGCTTTCAGTGTGCCTCAGCCGCGCTGCAACTGACCCGCACTGCTTCTGACCTGCGTTTGGTCTGTGGAAGCCTTAAGAAGCTAGGTTAATCCGCGACCGCAGAACTATTGTGATGAACCCACTGTAACTTACATAAGCTCATATTCAGCTTGGAGCTGTTCTCGGTTTTTATCAAATCGACATATGGTATTCCACTGTTGAATGAATCCCTAGGGAGTGTCAAATAGCACGACCACCTACTTTTTTAGGTACGTCCAGCTGACTATCTTCTAAATAATTCACTATGCTCCGTAAACTTTCCAACACCAAGTAAAATGCAATGCAAGATGTGAAACCATAAACAAAAACTAAAATTAAACCCAAATTAAGAAAGATTACAAAAGTTTCAAAGGAATATTACAGTAGTAGATTTAATAGCTCATTGAAATGTTTTAGAGTTCAGACAACGCTATTTCAATCAATTCAAAATGTTTAACCATTTTCTAGCTGTCTAAAAATATAGTCTACCTAAGCCTAAAAATACTGATACATAAAGCGAGTTTATGTTACGTTGGTAACATTATAAAAAATAAACTACTCACCCTGACAGGAGCATATATCGTCAACAACCCCTTCCCGACCTTCAAAGTCAGGCAGAAGTCGTGAGTGTCCTTGGTCTCGTGAACGATCTTTCCGGCCGCGTGTCCCTTCTTGAACTTATTATCGTAGGTGGAGTAGTAAAGGTTCTCTTCTTCCGAAGACGTACTGTCCGAGTCTGAATCTGCGGCAGAGGTAGGATCTTTCAATCCTGTGCGACGAACTAGTTAGTATAACTTACATCTATGTATTTCATTATGATTCAAGTTCTCTAGGAAACTTCCTGTAAATTGTTTGGATCAAGACTCTTGATGATTTTTATAGCTACAGAATGGGACCTAGGAGAAGGACATGGGCTACTTTTTATCATTAAATCATTAAGAGAGTGAAATGGAAGATCAAATTGATTTATTGAATAGAAACAGAATTCCTTCTTTTAATTTCTTTAGTTAGTGTTTGCGCCACTTCAAGTCTTTCCCACTATTTGAATCAAATCGATCTTTCGATTTGGGAACGCTTAACGCCGTAGTTCGAAATTTGAATTACCTACCATAGACTTTTTTTATTCCGTTGAGATCTCAAACTGTGCGTGTTTTGTGCCGCATAAAAAACTGATTTATAGTGTAAAATACGCAAAATTGTGGTGATTTCTGGCTGTGATCGGATTCCCTAAGATCCAGCAGGCTATTGGATAGTGAGAAGAAGGCGGGCCCGCCAGTAAGCAGACTTTTCATCTTCACGTGGTGGATCACGGTGAGAAGACTTGATGTGCTGCAAGTAAGTGTCCCTATCGTCTGTAATTTTTGATTCGGTAGTGTTCAGGACGCGAAGTGGCCGCTGTATTCCTCACTAGCCCATTTTCTCGCAATTTTTAATAAATTAAACAACCTTTTACTCAACCCGCTATTTTGTGTGGATTCGCGGCATACTATTTAGCCCCCACAGTTAGAAAAACAAATTGTTAGACTTTTTTAAGGGCGCGTGCACTATAGTGCAGTCGTTATAACGACTCAGTTAAGAAAGCTATTTTCAGGATTTTAAAATATTGCGACTTTTTTAAACAGTTCGGAGTCATCGCAAGTGCGGACATAAGTTAGTAAATAATGTAATCGTTGCAACTTACCATACCCGGTGCTTTTAAACTCGCTAAAAGCGGGGTAAATTGATGTATACATCAGCGGGTTGATCTCGTACGGATCAACTATGTGCGGCTCCCACAACAGTAGGTCTGAGTTGATGCGGTTGTAGATTATTTCATACAGTTGTTTGGATCTGGGGAAAAACATAACTAAAGTACAGTCGACAGCACAACAGACCACTCAAGTTTGTTGTAGAATAGAACTTATTACAATTAGATAAAGATGTGTTTAAAACGAGTATAGATCGCGCAACGAAAGTTGAGGCAATTATATACTCACACTGACGTAATATTTGAATACAGAATACACAAATTAGAAACGCAAGACTTCAGCGCGACAAGCGTATACGATATTTGCTTGTGTTTATGGCCTCAATTCTTGCTGCGCGACATATGCAGTCATCTGTACGGGGTTTTTCAAATAAGAAGTTTTAAACGGAACGTTTTAGGAACCGTAGACGGAAAATTTATACTACTTTTACCTACGTTTAAAACTACAACTACTACTAATAAACTACTAATAAAAATTACAACTATCAACGGTTAGTATGTAGTTTCATGAATGAAAAATTAACATCCTGCTCAAAACATCATTTTTTTTAGACATTATTAAGTAATTTTTTATTTATTATATTCTTGTGTCACGACTTCACGAGTGAGCTCACCACAATAGTAGAGCGGCAGCGGGGACCGAACCCGCGTTCCCCGGATCACCGGTCGGCCAGTCCGACCCCTTCACCGTTCGGCTATCGTGGCTTCAATTTGAAAGAGCATTAGGTACTTTTCTACTTACTCAAGCTGCAGACTGAGTATCGGCAAGTTGAATTCGAGGTGTATCGAGGAATGTTCTATGGCACTGCTTGTGAATTCCGCCATTTCTTCTTCATTGCCGGGCACTATGAGCTCCTCTTCTTGACCTAGTTACCAAAAGCACAAAGGTTTAAAGCATGTTATGGTTAAGTTTATTAAGTTGATAAATGGTATATCACAGTGATAATTTATTCCATGTAACACACAAAAAAGCGAGTTGTTTTAAACAAATACAGATTGTTTTTGAAAAATTTTAGAAACACCATTGAGGTATACACCTTGTACAGGACGACGTAGGGCTCATGCAATGATAAAAGAGAAGTTCGTTTAGGAACCACAATGCCACAGACACATGTCAAAATTACAGCACCCCTATTTTGGGGAGTGTAAAAATAACTTACTTGGTTGCGCATCGTTTTCATGCTTCGTAATGCTCTGGTGGGCCATCTTCTTCGCGCTAAAAGGACTAGGGTTGGCGTTGTGTAGGTTGTTCATGATATACATGGACGTCGTCATCGGGTTCGACACGGCTGGCTCGAACGATGGCTCATCGGACAACCCGTCGAACGGGCCTTTGCCTTTGCGCGGCTTGAACGTCATTGAGATCCTGTTGTAAACGAAATTAGACTTTAGAGTAGGGTAATTAAAGTTTTATTTGATTTGCAGATATTCTGAAATTCCCTGTTCAATGACATCCGTATCTAAAGATATAAGAATGTTTTGACAGTAAAATAGAATTATAAAAACTTACGTAGGAATCGGAACGAAGGCGTTGCCGCTTAGTACGTTCCCCTCCATTGGATCGCTCATTATTGATCGAGCTATGTGCGTTGGTGGTAGGCTGTCATTTTCCTGTAACAGAAATTCATGTAAATCACGCAAACGCAAGTACAGAGGCAGTCGAAGACACATTGGTACTAATGGCGTCATTATGTCGAGGCCCTTTATAAAAACATGGAGCTAAATGGAAAATATTTTTTTGGTTTCCAATAGGTGTCATAACTTTATCATAATACTTCAAAGAGCCTATGTCAGTGTCACATAACACCAGTACTCAATCAGAAGTTGACGTCATATTTTATGACTTATTGGATTACTAACATACGCCTCCCCCAATGATTTCCATAATGACCGGTTGGTAGCGGCCTGCATCCAGCGCCTTCCTGCTACCTTACCGACCTGATCGTCGGTCCACCTTGTGAGTGGACGTCCTGTGGCTGAAATGATGACGATGATTGATTATGAAACTTACATGATAGTACAAGTCAAGAGTGGAGGTTTTGAGCGTCACAGTGGTCGGCAGCGGCCGCGCGCTCGGAATCTGTTGGGAGCCGATGGTGACGTTCTGGAACTTGAACGTCAGGTAGTCGGCTCTGACCTGCCGTAGTTCCCGGTTTATTCCCGGTCGTAGGTCTGCTACGGGGAACCTGGAGGGAAAGTCAAAAAGTATTTTCATATGATTGGGATAAGGTTCAATTTCAACGAGAAGATTCGAGTAAGTTGATTCTGCAGTGCAGCGCTTGCGCAGGCTACACGTCTGCGACCATTGTACATATTGTGTGAGCTTTATATCGCATGTTATATTCACTTTAGCGCGGTGGTCGGATTAGGGCACTGCAATGAGAAACTGAGCTGGTAATATGGCGGCGACTGCGCAAGTAGCAACGCTAGCAAACATCACTTTCATGTCTTAAAGAATAGGGTGCATTCTCTTCTTTAAGACATGAAACTTGCAGCGAAAAGCTAAGACGTTTGTGACGGCGTTTGTGCAAAGATGACACCGGCGATCTTCACTGACATTCGCTCCACGAATATAATTATAAACTTTAAGTCTTACAGAATAGCGTGCATTCTCACCTCAGCACGGAGTTTAGGTTGAGGCACTTTAGTAATATGAGCTTTATGTCTTATAATATAGGGTCTATTCTCATCTGAGTACAGCCTTGAGATTAGGACACTGTAGCGCCGGCGGTTGCGCGGGTGTCACGCCGGCAACCGTCACTGACACACGCTTTACCAATGTGAGCCTTACGCCTTTAATAATAGGGTCCATTCTCACCTGAGTACGGCGTTGAGGTTGGGACACTGCAGCGAGAAGCTGAGCTGATTCTATGGCGGCGCGGCTGGGTAGTTCGTTCGCTGGGTATTCGCTCGACTAATGTAAACTTTACATTCCTTAGAATAGGGTGCAATCTCACCTGAGCACGGCGTTCAAATTAGGGCACTGCAGCGAAAAGCTGAGCTGATTTTGTGGCGGCGGCTGGGTAGATGTCGCGCCGGCGGGCTGCGGGCTGTCGCACAAGAACGTCGCCGACATACGCTCTACTAATGTAAACTTTAAGTATTATAGAATAGCTTGCGTTCTCACCTACGCATGGCGTTCAGGTTCGGGGTGCTGTAGCAATATGTGGTTTAAGTCTTACGGTATAGAGTCTATTTTCATCTGAGTACAGCGTTGAGATTAGGACACTGTAGCGCCGGCGGTTGCGCGGGTGTCACGCCGGCAACCGTCACTGACACACGCTTTACCAATGTGAGCCTTACGCCTTTAATAATAGGGTCCATTCTCACCTGAGTACGGCGTTGAGGTTGGGACACTGCAGCGAGAAGCTGAGCTGGTTCTGTGGCGGCGGCTGGGTAGTTTTCGCGCCATCCACTAATGTAAACTCTAACGGCCGAATACTGAAACACTACTCAAATCTGTCACTCAGCTGACGGGCTCCTAAATTTAAGTATCCTTCAATTTTAAATGGTATTCTCAAACGCTACTCAACGGATTTGAAGCCGTGATCAGCTAAGCAGCTCTCAAATGTTTACATAATGGCAACATTTACCAAAAAAAGTATGTTTTCATTTACACAAATGATAACTTTACGTCTTTTATCCATTACACGCAGCGTCGTTTGGTTATGTATTGTCTTTTATGGAAATATACTCAATCAACTTAACATAGAACAGTTTATTTTTAGTTTCTATTATATATAAATCTCGTTTTATCATATAAAAATTTTGTTGACAGAGCATCAAATTGACAAATCAACAACTCTTGGAAATGCTGCTATGCGATGTCCCCTTAATTTATTTATTTATTTAAAATCTTTATTGCACACATAAAAACAGTGGTACAACAGGCGAGAAATAGATCGAATAAATAGATATATAATATCGAGAATAGATAGATAAATAGATTAATCCTCAGAAATAGGNACATTATTTACCACTATTTAGGTCGATTTAGGTATAAGAATAGGATTTAAGATACCGCGCAAGCACTCTCAAATTTAACAGCTGCTTAAGACGATTTGACAGTTGTTTGAGTAATGCTTAGCGTTGAATGGCGTTTCAGTATGCGAAAATTCATTTAAGTGGAGTTTGAGTGCAACTTAATTTGAGAGGTGCTTAAAAATTGAGAACTGCTCAGATATTGTTTTGAGTATGCGAAATGTAAGTTTAGGAGCTGCTTAACTATTTGAGAAGCCGTCAAATATTTAAATGGCGTTTCAGTATTCGGCCGTAAGTCTTATACAATAGAGTCCGTTCTCACCTGAGCACGGCGTTAAGATTAGGGCACTGCAGCGAAAAGCTGAGCTGGTTCTGTGGCGGCGGCTGGGTAACAGTCGCGCCGGCGGGCTGTCTCCACTAATATAAACTTTAAGTCTTATACAATAGGGTCCGTTCTCACCTGAGCACGGCGTTCAGATTAGGGCACTGCAGCGAGAAGCTCAATTGGTTCTGTGGCGGCGGCTGGGTAGGTGTCGCGCCGACGGGCTGCGGGCTGTCGCACAAGAACGTCGCCGACATACGCTCTACTACTGTCAAGTCTACGTCCACGTGGAATGGTGTGCATTTCATACTGCAAAATATAATGGATTTTAATATCATGTAAAAAAGGTTTCTATTTCTGTGGACTACGAAATAAAAAAGCGATGCGAGATGAAGAAAAATAGTGTCCTCGTATACTAACTATAGCGTTATTTGACGCTCAAAAATGTGTGTGGGGGAGTTTTGAACCTAGAGACAGTCAGGTTATCACACTGCGTCGCGCTCCGCCGCGGAGCGCGTGATTTCATATAAAAAATCACGCTCGCAGACGCGTGTTTTCTATACAAACTGAGGTACATACTTGCATACAATGATTAAATCTGTCGTCCCGCGCTCCGCGAGTGATAACCGCCTTAATATTCCTACAAATAACACTTACACAATATCTGTTGTGGGATGAACAAGTTTTTTCTCTCCAGAAATCCTCATGTATTTGGACGTCTGTTTGAAGTTTATTCTGACATTAGCACGTGAAGTCGTACTCTTTTTGTCATCGTCATCTGTAAAAAACAAAAACAATATTAGGGTGCTGAGACTTCCAATGTTTGTTATTCGTCGTGGTTGTTGTTTCAGCCAAATGACGTCTACTGCTAGACAAAGGCCTCCCCCAAGGATTTCCACAACGAACGGTCTTGCGCTGCCCGCATACAGGCACTCCCGCGAAATTTACCACCAATATTTGTAGTGAGAAGTAATGAGGATTTTCGCGAATGAAAAATCCGCCAGATGGCAATACGTAGACATGAGGTCCAAGTGCTGCATGATTGGTTATTTTTGACATGACATTGACAGATATGTCAAAATCCACCAATAACGCAGCAGTCAGACCCCACATCCACGTCCCGCCATCTGGCGGATCTTTCATTCGCGAAAACCCTCATTGGGAGAAGATTGATTGAGTGAATGAATGGATGAAGTGAATAAAGCGATGAGGTTGAGTTTAGATAGTGGTTATATTACTATGTATATTAATTACCTTTGTTTTCAAACCGTATCAGGTCATAGCCCTGTGGTTTGCTTGCACCTGGCGAGTACAGGCACTCTCTGACTAGCATTCTCCCTATGGACGCTTCGCAAACCGTCTGGTTGCCGTGACTTGTTGTCTTGTCGCTGCCGTCCAACGTCACTTCAGATGTTAATAGCCTGTAATAAAGATTTTAGTTAGAAGTCTGAGTTATAATCAACTAGCTTTCCGGCCGCGGCTTCGCCCGCGTGGATTTTTGTCTGTCACAGAAAAACTTTAGTGCGCACGTCCCTGTTTCAAAAACCGGGATAAAAACTATCCTATGTCCTTTCCCGGGACTCAAACTATCTCTATGCCAAATTTAATTAAAATCGGTTCAGTGGTTTAGGCGTAAAAGCAAGACAGACAGACAGAGTTACTTTCGCATTTATAATATTAGTATATACATAGATAGGCGTGAAAGCAAGACAGACAGACAGAGTTACTTATTTCGCATTATAATATTACTATAGCAGTATAGATATAGATTCACAAGATTTTATTGTAAGGACGACAGCACATTGACCTAAACACAGGCGCCTTATCTCGTTATTATTACAACAACAGCTTAGTTTGCAACAAAAATTTATACTGTGATGTGCTATACAAGTTGCAAGTTATGAAGAATTGGATTTATAATAATGACACTATTTCTGAGTTATAAGCATAGTTAATTATACGTCGTTCCAGATTATCTGATTTAAACTGAAACTGGTACTCACATAGTGATGTTACTTGGATTTATCTTAGCACTGATCTACGTTATTGTACCGAATTAGTGGTAGGGTTTAACTGAGACGTGTAATATCCCTTTAGAAATCCTATTGCTAAAAACAAATGATTAATAATGAACTATCCTGATTAAATAATAAGACTTACCTCAAATGGTTTCTCTTCGTAGCATTGTCTATGGCCTCATTGGCCATAGCGAAGTCTTTCTTGCCGCTGTCGGCCAAAGCGTACGGCGGTAGGCTCTCGAAGAACTGTCGGGCCACGTCGTGCATTTTGTTGGTGGAAGACGGCGAGATGCAGTCGTTACCCATGGGAGTGGGGGCCAGGATATCCTTGAAAACAAAAAATGATTACTTAATCGATATTTAGATAAAATATGATTAGTTTTTTATAGGTGACCAAACTGACAATTTTTGTTTGTTTTAGATATTCTGCTTTTTTTAATGTGGGTTTTTACTTTACCAACTGATGTCACGACACTGGGTCGTTAAATAATTTAATACGAAGTTCCCGAAGAATCTAAATGTTTATAAGAAAGTGATTTTTTATACCTTTAAAATGTTGAATTTTAATTGTTGGGTTTTAAAAAATAAATTAAATTACTACTTACCTTATGTAGAAGAACACAGGATAGTGAGGCAACCCTGAAGCTGATGTGAGACACCTCTGCTGTGGGGTCACCGTCAATGTGAGGAACTGTAACAAATAAATATTATTTCAAAATGTATGTATGAAAGATCTTCTTTATCAGTCCATTTTCTTAAACCCAATTTAGTCGGTGTAACAAAGATGTTAAAACTTTTAAAGAGCAATGTACCGAAACTCGGTTCGTAGACCCTTGCTGTAGTACAAAAGTACTACAGCAGAATATACATACCCTGCCTAAAGTACGGCCAACGAGCAGCAATACCAAATGTAAACAAACCCAATGTTATGGGTGAACCCGTCTGACTTTGACATATTTTGGCGGGATAACGAGACATTACGACAAATCACAAGATGGGAAGAGACAGAATATATTGTCAACTCGACTAGTATCGCTGCTAGTTGGCCGTACTTTACCTTAATATCTACGTCTACTACGAGTACCTTTTTTGTTACGTTTGATGCGTGGCTGTACTGAGGGCATGTTCACACTCGAAGTCATGCTGGTGCTCATAGAGCTCACGGAGGAAGAGAAACTCTCTGCCATGTTGCCTGGTGACGTCATCGGGTGGAATGTCTCGTTTTCTGTGTCGCTATCGTCTGATGAATAAGAAAAAATATGATTATTCCAAAAAGGTTGCTTTTAAAAGGCATAAAAACTTAAAATGATGAAATGAAGAAGAAAGAAAAATAGCTTATGGTTGATTGTACCAGGCCTGTTCATCTCCGCGAGTTTACATCGAAAACAAAACACGCACGATGGCCCACCTACAGGATACTATTCGACAAGGCCTCACATACAAGCGAACATTGACTCACGCACGCGTTTTCTTGTGTATGATGGAAGAAAATAAAGAAAATGGTGTACTAAATACTGTGCAGTATTTAACTGCCTAAATAATAATAAAAACACAGAATGTACTTTTTTAAGTTGCCTCAAGACACTGCGCCGAAGCTATAGGGCTGACTTCGGTAAAATGATGTGACGTGAGATGCCAAACTGCGGAAAATGGAAATTTTTTAAAGATAGTGTAAAATTACAACAACATACCAAAGCTAGGGCCCGACCAGCCGTATTTGCTGCTGCTAGGCCTTAAGTTCTGTCTCTCCAAGTTTCCGAGCAGTTGGGCTTCTATAAGCTGGAAGTCAGCTTGTCTCATTGGCTTGCATTGGACGTTGATATTGCTCGGACGCAACGGTATATTGCTAAAAAAGAAACCAAAATGAATTATTTTTTTTGTTATGAAAGTGAATCAAAGATCAGCAATATTTTCAGATCTTACCTAGTGTCTTCTAATTGTGGTTGATTCAGAGCATCTATCAGCTCAATCAACGTATGTAACTGCCTCGGCGATATGAACACAATACAAGAACCAAAAAGCATCTTTACTTCCACTTTCGGCCCCTCCACTTCTTCTGAATGTTTAACTTTGAGCGCCAATTCTTGCTGGCCTGTCAGTGTCGCAAAGAGAATAGGATCGGGCTGGTTGGCCCTTTCTTCTGGAGTAGCCTCTTTAATTTCCGTTTGAGTTCTTATTTCAGGTAATACTTCTTTGATAGGGTCCGATTCTATCGTCGATATAACGCTACGAGTTTCGTAGAAAACGTCAGACACTGTGCTTGTGTAGTTAACTTCTGACGGGTCAGCTGGGGAGCCATCAGATTTGTCCGCTTGTGACGACACAGACTTTTCCATTATAAGACTCCGTGCCATAGTTCGCAGTTTTGAAGGGAACTCATCTGTGTACAATGTGACTCCTTCAAATCTGATCTTCTTGTTTGTGTATGTGGCGACGATGTACGTCTTAGATTTGTCAGGGTCTGTTGCTTCCGGTGTGGGTTCCACGCCAGCCTCGTCAAAGTAGTCTATGCTAAAAACAATAGTGAAATATTTGTAGTGTGTGTACCAGTGTTGAGAAAGAGAATGTATTGTTTAGTATTTGTCCCAGATTTGACAAGTAATTGCTATTCCTATTATGTTAAGAAATAATATGTATAAAATGGTTTGAGACTTCAAGAGGGTATTGTATTCTGAAATTATCATATCTAATTATGTAACATTTAGTAAATTAAAAACACAGTACATAGATACTGTATTAAATTTTATGAGAAGTAGTGATATGTGACTGAAGGTCACAACGATTGCTATAAATATAATCAGTTCCAATAAGGTCAGTTGTATTAACAAGGAAGTTCTAACGTATTGTCCTACTTTAATACTTCAGATGTACTCTCTGACTCACATGATATTCAGATAATGAAGATAAAACTTAGCTACGAAAATGCTTACCTTTTAATGTGTATTTCTAGCGCAATGCCTCTGTCACCACTTTTAGGAACATGTTCTAATCTTATTTTTGTATTTACAAACTTTACTTTTACTCGACTTAGAACTGAAATAAAAAAGTTATTTTATTGTAACATTCTAAAAAATGAAAACAGGTGGTTAATTATAATGCGAAAATGTACAACAGGTAATAAACAAAATTGTTCATAACTGCTGTAATAAAGATTGAAATAAGATCATAAGACCTACTTGAATCTATGGTATGTGCAAACATTTCAATCCCTTCCACAGGGTTGGTCTCTTGCGGGCCGTCTTCCTCACGCAAGCACTCAGCCGCCAGCTGCATCGATGAGGACATAGAGGACCACATGGACTCCAGCATAGATGATACTAAAATCGGTTGATTTTGGTTAATAATAAAATGTAGTAAAATCATTGTTTATAAAAAAAAGTTCTAAAAATACCTTCAAGAAAATAAAAACAAAATTTTTTGTTGTTTTCTTATTTATGTGGTTTGTGTGGCTAAAGAATTAAAGTACAAAATAACATTTCTTGGAAAAACAAAATAACAAAGTATACCACATCGAAATTAGAGACAATATTACAGACATAATTTAGTGATTAGCATCAAGCCTGTTCTTCGTACATTTGCTATTGAATATTGAATAACTTTAGCGTTGGTTCCAAATTATATATTCAGGAAATGATTCATGCAAAATATAGCACTCAAATACACAACTTACCAGCTTCTTGCCGTACTTTTGGCTGAACGGTAAGTGAGAGGCCGTTGACTTCAACAATGGAGTCATCTTTGAGAAGGGTGGACCATGGAATAGTGACAGTTATCTCTCTCATATGACCGTCAACTATTTCCAACGGCCAGTTTTGTGTGTCTCCCAACTCATTGAGGGCCTAAAATATATTTTTAATAGTTAAATGTGGGTAGTTAGCATCATCATCTCTAGAAATAAAATGATAGACTACACAGTGTTTTTTTATTTATTACAAAAGTAATTTAAGTTATTTTAATTGCATTTCATTATCTACTAATAAATGTCACAATAATTAATACTAAGTGGATAATAATGCCCAATTATATTATAATGCTACTAAATGCAGAGCTAGTGCATCATTTACGACAAATTTGATTACAATTTAATAAAAGACAAAAATTAAAATAGAACAGTTTATAAGACTTCCATAAATTTTCCAGTGGCTATTAAATTTTATAATATAAAATGAATGTGGGTGGGTATAAATATATCATGCACAGTGATTTATTACAACTGTAGTAAATATTATTTACAATATTGAGCAAGTTTGTAATTATGTTTTTTTATATTGACTTTTACATTTAATGAGTGAAAGTTATATAAATTTAAAACATGTTCAAAGTAAATTAATGTACTAACAATGTTAATACATTTGTTGAATTACTATACAATGTAGGTAGAAATATTTTTTCTTTGTTTCGTCCCAACGTTTTTCGCACGTGGGACTTTTCAAGTAATGCGCACTTTAAATTGGCGAGGACGCGTGGTGTTTTAGGCGGAAAAATGATCAAAATGTACCCTGCAAAGGGATCTAAGGAATATAATTAACTATAATGAGTTATAAATGGAATAAACTTACCTCGCAGTCAAGGCTAACATCGCATACCGTCCCTGTGCCATTGTACAGGTCGACACTCAGCTGATCCAAAGTCAATTTTTCTTCAAGAAAATTGCCCAGGTAACGCTGGAGAAGGTACCTGCAGGCTCTTTTTTTTATGCTTTCAGACCATGGTAGATACCAAACCATCTTTATCACTTTATTATGTTCATCACACTGAGAATTTATACTTTTGTGCGTAATGACTATTGTGATTTGCGTGTGAATGACTTACGAACGTAAATAAACATGACGTTCCGTTTCACTCAAAGTAATTTTCGTTCAGAAATCGGACCGGAAACAGCTGATTACATTCGTTCAAAAACGGGTCATAATCTGTGTGTTTAAAAATGAGCTATTTCGAGCTCAGACTGAGCTCAATTAAATTGACTTATTTTAGGTTTTATTTATTACTAGCTGACCCGGCGAACTTCGTACCGCCTTAGCGTAGAGATTTTCTTTATATTTTTTTCCGTAAAAACCTTGTATACCTTGATTTTTTAGAATCCAGCAGAGATGTAAACAAACACTTTCATACACAATTACACCATAATCACTTACGTGTTCATAATATCATACACATTATTTAACAAGCCCATGAAACCAACTTTATTTTCACGTTTATACAAGTTTGAAATCAATCTTTGAAACAAATTATTTTAGCAAAATACGTGGACGATGAAAATTTGTGACATTGTCAAATTGACTTGACGTTTAAAATCATGTGTTATCTCCATATTGTCTATGACTTGTCTCTGACACATCAGTGCCGTAACCTGTGAGTCATAGACAATAATCTGTAAATTTAATCGATATTATTTTAAGTATTCACTTATTTCGATTACTGATTAATTTTAAATAAAAAATATACGATACTTTGTTTAGTTTTCCAGCGATAACTTCGACAATATTGGAGATAACGTAAATTTATTTTTCTACTTTTAGTGTTTACTTTTTCGGAGTCAGTTTAATTTTTAGTCGGTTTTATTTAAACGAAATTATGTTACTTTTTTATGCAATTATGCTTACGTATTGTTCCATTGTTTATTTTTAAGAAAATAAAAAAACTTCTTTCAATGAGGGTTTTCGCGATTGAAAAATCCGCCAGATGGCAATACGTAGACGCGAGGTCCAAATGCTGCATGATTGGTTATTTTTGACATGACATTGACAGATATGTCAAAATCCACCAATCACGCAGCAAGCAACAGCAAGCAACAGAAGTTTAATAACTTTACGGATATCATTGATTGTTTTACTGTCCAGTGTGCTTTTTGATTACATCTGTGCATACAGTTTGTTTCCTGTTCTCGTAAATTTCATAATCAGTTCACATTCAATGTTGCGACTTTGTTGCATATTTTTAGTATTTTGACGATCACCCGGCGATGATACGCAAGTACTACAACATTTCACTTCGCGATTAACGAGAGGTTTTGTCGCATCACTAGTTCACAGACTAAAAATATTTTTATGTCAGTTGGCCATATTTGATGACATTTCTGCTGATTTCTAAAAAATTAGACTGTACAGAGTATTAGAAAACTACAAAAAAAAATCAGCCAAATCGGTCAAGCCGTTTTCATGTTATGTCGTGACAACGGAAAACGGGTTTCATTTTTATATATATAGATTATACAAGCTTTTATTTTTATTTTATCTATTTATTTATGAACAACCAACAAAACATACACCATACATTCACAGTTTCCATATATAACCTGACCAGGAACATAAAAACCCTCGCCATGTTGCGGAAAACTAATGGTACTAATTTCTTTTAATGGCAATAGTAACTGAAAACTTCATTGACATGACGTCACCTTGCATGTCAGTCTATTGCTGTCAAATTGTAAACAAACTTTATTTTAAATGTGCGCAATTGGTTTTATGAATTAAATTGCTAAAATATTTTTATAGTCGTGAAAGAAAAGTGGTTCACAATGTGTTAAAGTATTTGTCGAAGAGAAATACTAAGGGTTCGGACAATATTTTCATTGAATAATGTTTCCGACAACATGTTTATCGTATAGTACAGTCCACTATGAAAATTAGTTGTGGTTTGTTTCAACTACCTATTTTAAAAATTTTTGTCACTTTCTAAGTGTTGAATTTTATGGGATTGGGAAAGAAGTACCGAGTTTGAAGCGTTCATGAGCAGACATTGCAGTTGAATATTCAAGTTCTGAATTTGATTATTGATAAAAAATAAAATAAATTCTACTAGCTCGATTGATGGTTTCATTTAATTTATTTAAATCAGGTTACTTAAAATAATATTTTTTCGTTAATTTATGAAAATATCAAATTAGCACGTAATCCTGAATCCTGATACATAAAGTTAGCCTATTAATTTAACACAGGTACGACTGTACTCAGTGTTGCACTATCAAATGCAATTGACGCGCCTCTATGCCAGGGTTTTTATGTTCCTGGTCAGGCTATAAATCTAAAGTGTTGTTAAAGTTGTTGTTAATGGGTTGCCACGACATGCACAGAACGCTGGATATCAATCTTGTTTTATTTTATGGCAATTTTATTTGAGTATTTATTTTTGGCGGCAAACGTTTAAACGTAATTACCTACCATGATTGTTTAATCCGACTCTGAATACAATTCAGATGATTCTAAAAGTCCATAATCGGTTTCTTCTTCGTCATAATATGGGTATTTTTTCACGGGAGTGCATGAAAATATAGATAGGCTGTAAAATATTCTTCCAACACTTGTGGGCAAGATCAACACAGCTGAAAATTCTGTTTTCCCAACGCCTGTTTTAGATTGTGAAATACAGTTAGTATTGTTCATTACTAAATTAATTTCCACTCTTGAAATCGTATCACCTGTAAACATGTAAGTATTATAGTTGCATAAAAAATGCACCAAACTGTGACCAAACGAAGAGTTTGCGTGGTATTCCTCAAAGCGATTACTTTATAAGCATGGTTTATTCCCGTTGTTCAACGCCAACCCAAATAACAGGATATTAATGAAAGTATATAAAATTCCTGTTTTCGCCACTCCTCCAGCCGATGGTAATGATCAATTTTAATTACTTAATTAAATTCTCACCAGTAAGGACTAACCTGGTGGGGACAACGGGAATTTAGTAAGGATACAGAGCGCTTCTAGAAATAGTTATTGCGCTTCATTATGAGTGCATCTACATACTTACTTTGCCCATTATCTCTTGAACTTACTTACCATCATCAGTTTTGTAGTAAATATCAAAGACTCTATTTAACTTCACGCTGCCCCATATTTTATTCTCTTCAAACAATTTTGTAACTGAAATATATGCCAGGGAAATAATGCAGTGTGTGTGATTATCAAACCTGCCGAAAGGTAAATCCTAAAGCTTATCTTACCTTTACAAGTCCCCATAGAGAATTGGATTTTGTAGTAAGGATATCCGACTGCTTCTATAGTTCGTAAGAAGTTGAAGATACCACTAATGTTTCGTATTGGGAGCAACACAACGAAAAAATGAAGTAATTTGTAGTTCATACTCTCAGAAGGTGATATCGCGATTCGGAAATGTTGACTGACCGTTACAGTAGACAGACAAATCTATATGAATGGTACCTATGATTTAAAGGTATGGTCAGCAGAGAAGTATGATAGTAAGCATTGGGAACTTAATAATAAAGTGATCGCTATCATGGTGACCGTCATTAGCATTTTATTTTACATTCTGGTGATAACAGGATTTAGTAGCACTTGATCTTTGTCTTTTACATTCTGATAGATTTTGGTTTCTGGTGGTTTCTTGAGTGTTCTCGTGTACCTACTTATGTATGTTGGAAAACTTACAGATCTATTTAATAGCCTTACTTACTTATTTCTAGTGATCGGTTTCCCTAAGTTAACAACTCAGTAAATGTATGAATTACACTGTAAATGATTCTGGTGACCATGCTCTGCCATAACATCCTATTTGTATGATGTTATGAATAGTCTATTGTAATGAAATTCCAGGAAACATAACACTTAGGTACAATGGACCAATGTATATTAATTTGAAAACTAAAAAGTTATGTGGTTATAAACTGGATCTATGGATAGGTAGGTACGAAATAATTTTCATGAGAATAAAACACGTATTTATTTAATTGCTTTAATACTTTGATCCGTTCATTTGATAACGGCAAATTACATAGTATTTAGAATATATGTGGCGCCCGTCTCGATACCAGCCCAGGTTTCGGTGACAATCTGGCGCGTATATTCTGGAGGGACAAGGAATCCGTACTCGTATCCTGGGAGCTCCAGGGTGTAGGTGTAGGGAATGCCCACAGCGCGGGTCCAGTCACGGGAGGTGCCGCTGGAGAAGTATAAAACGTTGGCTGCGTTACCCACGATATAGCGGTCTGCTTTGTCGAGGGCGAGGTTGTCGATCGCCTGAGCCATCATCACTCCAGCCAGGTGGAGAACCAGACCGTTGGACGGGAGTGTACCTGAAGAGATAAGCAGCTATAAGATTGTCCATTATCATTTACGCAGTTGGCTACTAATAACCTGTTAAACTAGGTAAGTAAAACTTGTTTACATAGAGTTAAAAAAAGTCTCACTCCTGTCTCTGAATAATTGATAACAGGTTGAATTGGTGCTATATTTAGATCCGATTCTGGTTTAATTTAAATTCGATCTCTTTGGCCTCGTAGCAATTGATACAAATAGCAATCGATGCTTCAAATCTGCCTGCGAAGTGTAAAAATAGATTAACAATAAGTCATTGAACTTCGACCGACTCAATCTTTATGTTGTCTTGGATTTGTGTCTCCAAAATTCTTGTTTGTCAATGACGCACTTCAATTGTCCACCAGGATGTCGATAAAAACGGCATGCAAGGTTTTATGGTTCCGCGTTTATTGCAGATCGGATAAAGATACGCCCACTGCATTATTTTTATCTTGTACAATTCCGATGTTGTTCCAGTTATACGGGGATTCCTTGACTACTTTCACTTAGATTACCTACTCAGGTTTCATTGAAAAGTTACTTTGGTAACTATATGTAATGCTTAAATATGATACCATCTTACCGTTGCTACCCCACGCGTACAGGAACATATTTCCGTAACTGTGCAGAGAAATGTAGAGTTTAGTTCTATCCAAGTCTCTGTTTACTGCGTCCCTTATAACCCTGATTTCGGGCTCGGAGAATGCTGAAGGGCCTTCGTAGATGAGGGAGCATGGGACAGCGCTATCAGGACGGGTGCCCCACTCATGGTCAAAGTTGCGGTTCCCGTCGACACCTGGGCATGAGTCGCTACCCGCGTGGGAACGGGAGCGGGTCTTACGCCACATGCGGTCCTAAAGTTTAAGGAAAAAAACCTATTAATAAAGCTAGAATTTTTATTAAACAACTTGAAAAAATTTAACTGCCTAAGGCGGGACTCGAACCCACGACCTTCCGCTTGCCGGGAAGTTTGAAAAGCGACTCTATTCGCTAAGAAATTTTAATAAAGCTAGAATTTTTCTATACATTCAATTACTAAATTCTGTGCACAATAATTTTAAAGTGTGGTCAAGGTTTGAAGTAATTTAGCATCGAAAACGTAACATTTTAAAACATGTGCATGTAATCAAAATAATGATAGGTATGGTGTTCTTTGTCCGCTTCTTTTCCAGATAGGAAGGAACCGTCATAGTTATATCTAAATTTAAATAAAGGTAAGTAAATTGTTTCGAGGAAATATTTACATTTTACCATACCGTCTCTACCTTCAATAAGAATCATAAATCGCTATCAGTACCTACCTAGTATGCCTAAGAAACTAGGTCACATAATAGCATTTGCTACCCGTCACGTAGGTATTAACTTATCAACATAGGCAATGTTCCAAGATAGATACCAGATTATCCTTAACCCTTACCTCGTGGATGGAGTATTCGTAGCCGTCAGGGTTGGCAAGAGGAATGATGACCCAGTCAATTTCGTCTGTTAATCTCTGATTGACTACATCAACGACGAGCTGGTTGATGATGTACAAAGCCACGGGAGGAGTGACCCACTCCCTGGCGTGGACTGCAGCGTCGATGACAATCACGGGTTTTCGAAGGATCTCGAAACGAGTGGTAGAAATCCTGACGTATTTGATCTGGCGACCTTCGTAGCTGAGACCGGCGTTGATGACCGTTACGAGGTTGGGGTATTGCTGACCGAGCTCATCTAGGTAGTCATTGATCTGTAGAAATTGCACAGTAATGAAAATTGGTCAAGAGAGGATTACAAATATTTGATTATGTTTCATTAACATGACAGAAAAAGGTTACCTCGTCATGGCTATAGTAAGCATCCCAGCTGATGGAACGTCCGCTACGCTTTGCAGCTGATTTAGCTGCAACATTCTTGGCTCCCTCGTCACGAATGATCCTAGAAACACATAATGTTAAAGTGGACACCGTTTTCTAGTCCATATTGTTTTGAATCCAGAAATAAATTATTATAACTTACTCAGCAAGGTTGTCAGCGACCTTGGTGTAAGGCATATTCTTCGAGTCGAAATAAGCCAGCCATGACTGCTTCTCCTCAGGTGAAAGCCTGACCAGGGCTTCAAGCCTGCCAGAAAGGGTGCGAGCAGCTGGTGTCGCCGAAAGGATGTCTAGAGAAGCTTCTAGAGTTGCGATCTCTTCGGACGAACCAGCCACGCGGTACAATTGGTGGCTATAAAATAGATTTGGAAACTATAGATTTCCTCCTATTCCTAATTGATTGAGTACCTATATTTAAATTAGATAAGATTGATAAGGTATATGACCTAGTCAATGACAAACCTACTACTAAGTAAGGTCAGTTTTAAATAAATACCTAGCTAAAAACCGGTTAAATAGGATAGTTTTAAAGTCAGTGACCCTTTAATGAATTATGTTAACTAATTACCTACTTACGTAGGTATAGGCACGTACGTTCTTAATAGCACTTAAATGAAAATGATACTGTAAGTATGCTACATAGTTTGATAATCTTTCTTGTAAGAACATATAGTTACATACTACAATATAACGATGAATTGATGTTAATTAACTAGATGATTGCAATATAAGGCTGGGTTGCACCATCTTGTTAGGTAAATCTGTCAAGCTCCATACAAAAAGCACCAGTTCTCATTAAAGTTACCGTTAAAGTTAGGTGGTGGAACTCAGCCTCAGACTTGTATTTTTTTTTAAATACTGGCAAGTTACTCACCCTTCATATTTCTCATGGTTTCCGCCATGCACCGCGGCTGCGGCACACAGTAGCAGACTTATCACCAGCCGTGCCATTTTGCCTCTAATCCACCGGCTACCTATTTGCTTCGTGTTATTCTCTCCAGGATAGCCATTATCCTATCTTTATTGACTAATAAACGCGTTATTTCGATAATCTTGTCGGTTTTATTGACTTTAAAGTCTATAATACCTATTGGACGTACGTAACTATCATAAACAGGTAAAAAGTGTGCATGTTAATATTTTTGCGTCATGTGCAATGTAATAATATGAATAAAAAGTTGTTGTGCCTTATCAATAACAAGACTAAATTGGTTAGACGGTGCCCTGGGAGTACATAAACAAAATTTAATTCCGTAGCTTATACTCTTTACTTATTAGCTTTTTCAGGAAGTCCCAAAATTCATGAAGGTAGATGGAGCCACAGGATGAGCAAAGCAAGAAGTAGATACCCCATTAGTGAAATGATAAGGTGCACAACTAGGTATGATAAAAATTTAAGCAATATGCTTATTTACAAGAAGCTTCCAGATAAGCATGTTTGCGTAGAGGAAAATAACTGTTGGCATTTTTATAGTAAGCTAAACGATAATAATTTGGACGTCATGAATTTTCTTTTTCAAATACAGTAAAGTAGGTGAGTAGGTAATTATATTTTATCAATTGTTTATCTTTTATTTATTAGATAATTTGTAAGGTCTAATTATACAAATGCTAACTAATAGAAATGAAAGAAAAATTGTTTTAGTCTTAATTTTTTTATATTTGAAGAACATGTAAATTTAAATTCTAACTAGGTACTAATAACAAATAAATAATTTAGCTATGATACATTTATGTTTTAATTTTCAATACATATTTCCAGTAAATCTTCCTAAGGGTCCTTTTAAATCCTGAGTGCCTCCAAGCATAGATGAGAGGATCACACAGACTATTGCTAGCTCCTAAGAGATATAGCGGTCCTAGAGTCAGGATTTCTAAGGGTATACAATCATAGCCATGTATCATTATGTCGCACTTCACATACATAATGATAGCTACATAGTACGGAGCCCAAGTCCCAACAAAACAAAAGGTGACAAGCAAAACAGTTTTGACTGCTTTTAGTTTAGTCGGCGTGGATTTCAGCGATTTCGACTTGCAATAATATCGCGACATTTTCTGAATTCGCTGCTTAAAAGCATTCCCGACTTGTTTCTCTTCAATATTCGTTTTGGTAAGCTCATGCATTTCCAAGGATTCTTTGTTTATAACAGTTTCTGTGGATACGGTGATCGTTACAGTCGTTTTGGA